TGTAGTCTGTTTCCAAAACCCCAAAACCCCAAAACCCCAAAACCCCATTTGGCATAATCATAATTTTATTCTTAATTAATAAATCAAAAATAAACAGTATAAAATGTCGATAAATTTAGTAAGGAGTCCTAGAAAGACTGAATTTTGGAAACAGACTACACCTCAGGTACTTGGACCAGGATTTTATGATAACAGCAAATCCTTCAATGATGGTCAAAGAGAAAAGTATGAAATTTTTGAAAATATATTAATCTAATTAATGTAGTGTTGCTCCATTCTTATCACTTAAAGATAGAAAAATAAATGATTCTCTAAATGAAAACCCTGGTACTACTATTTAATCTGTTCTTATATAATGTTACTATAGGTCCTGGTGCATATGACTCTAAAGCAAACTAATCATTTAAAGTTGATGATAAGGGCAATAATGTCTTTGTGACGAAGGTAAGTCAAATCACTCAGCATTATATTCGAAGTTCTGATTCTCATTATATTTATCGGTTATAGATTGCAAGGTTCTGCCCAACAGCTCCAGGTTCAACAGTTTTCAAGTCTCCTTCATCTATCTACAATCCAGGTAACAAATAAAATGCTTCTTATAAGTATCAATGATAGGACCAGGAACTTATCAAAAGCAAATACAGTGGAATTAGGTAAACTCACTAACAAGAATTAAGCAGAACTACGATTCAAATAAGCATTAAGACTTGATTATAAAGCCATAGGCAAGAGCTCCATCTATTCCAGCAAAGAAAATTTCCTAAATCGCTTATTCTGGTCTAGGTCAAGACACAGTTGGTCCAGCTTGCTACAACCCCAAAGAGAAGACTGTTAAAACTAGACATAGAGTGCCTGACTTCACCACAAGTAAGATTCCTAGAAAAGTATTTGAACCAAACAAGACTAGAGAAAATGACTTGCCAAGCAAAGAGAACCCAGGCCCAGGTTAGTATGAACTCGGCCAAAATATGAGTCAAATAAATTAATAGCCAACATCTGTATTCCTATCAAAAGTACCCAATTGCAAAGAATAGAAGATTAGAAATAAAGATGCTCCAGGTCCAGGCTACTATGAGAAAACAGCTCAAGAATCAAGCTTCTTAAGTGATCATAAGCGATCAGTGTCTGAAGCTGCTAACTTCTCTGCTACTAATAATAACAATCCAAACAAAGCTAATAGCAACTTCTTGAGTACCACTAAGAGAGAGGACTACTGGGTTAATAGAATAGATGCACCTTATACTCACCCAACCAACTTTTAAAATCCGGGACCAGGAAAGTATCACTAAGAAAAGAAACATGAAGATGTGAAGTCGAAAATTCTATTGGAGGGCACTGTTTAAGTACCATTTTTAGCTGGAACTGAAAGAGATTGCAATAAAAAATAGTAGAAGCAAGGCAATCCAGGTCCTGGTACTTACATTGATATTAATGATCCCTAGCACTCGTCAGTGACTAAGAATCTCCTCAAGTTTTCAAGTGATAGGACGTTTGCAGAGGCAAATGGCATTAAAAATGGTGCATTTGGTTCTACTTAAGATAGATTCTTCCATGGAATGTTTGAGATAAAGCCAAACAACACAGTCACTGACTATCAAGATAAATCCAATAAGAAGTTTAGTGATCTAAAGTCAAGTGAGAAGACTAGGCAAGGCTCAACTATACTCAATGATAGACCCTATACTCAAAGTGTCTACTTCAAATCAACCACTGACAGATTCTCCAAGATTGATGCATAAAACCCACACATCAGAATACTAGAAGCAGCAAAATAAAAGAGACACTAGTCTAGAGATGGCCATAAGCCTCCAGGCTCAGCAATGAACATTACTAATGACTCCACTAGAATTGGCTCCAGTGGTGTAGTATCTTATATAACTGAGCCACCTAAATGGACAAGGCAGACAAGAGCTGGTGATTATGAGGCATTCGCAGGCAAGAGAGTGGGATTCGATGCTACTTCTCCAAGGTTCAACTACAATTAAGTCTTTTATGGTCAGAGTCTGAAGTTCGAAGTGCCAGGTCCAGGCTAGTATCAGGACAAGGCAGTTAAAGACACAGAGGATAGACCCTCAACCTACAGCCAGCCAAGAAATAAGCACCTAAAGTACGCAGTAGTATTCAACACATGCGAGAAGAGATTCAAGAATAAAGGAATAAATAGCTACATCTATTAGCCAGGCACCACCTAAATTGTTGGACCTGGCTCCTATATCAACAATGAGAATTCTATGCTTAAGAAAAGTTTTAACATGTCTATGGAACACTCATACTTCCTCTGATTAATAATCTTATAATTATTGCCCCTTATATTTTGATTTTCTTTAAATATACATGCTCTATTATGTCTAATAATTATATCCCGGGGTTTTGGGGTTTTGGGGTTTTGGGGTTTTGGGG